CTCAGGTAAAGCTGTTCTCGATTTTCCTCTGGTACTCTAAAAAGCATCGTGACCAACCTTCATAACAGAAGGTGGCTCATGTGTACCCTCTTCACTCGCCTCAATCTTATGTCTTCCCACCACGATATGTCCATCGAAATACCTTTACTGTTAAAATAGCTTGACGATTTGGGTCCAATGTTATGTCTCTGATGGTTCCAGAAATAGAATTTAAGAGACAAAGATAGAGAGATTGCCCTGGTCACGTGATCGTTTTCAACATTCCGATCATAAACCTCCGAGTGCTTGTGTGGGACCTGCTCTTAGGATCTCAGTACAAACACAGAGCCAGGCACTGGAGACTCGGGAGGCAGTTTTGGATCAAGTCCATATCTCCATCCTATGCACGTATATCTATAGTGTTCTACAATGCAGAGTCTAAGAGGAAACTCAGCATTTGACTGAATTAGCCGTATTCTGACACAGTTAGCTAGGAGACTCATTCTAGTTCACTGAAGAAAAAAAAAACCCCCACAAAACCCCTAACACAGTTATTTTTTTCCTCGCCCTTCCCTTACTTCTCAGTATATATTATTTGTTACATATCTTTATTTCTACACTTGCCAATGTTATTTGTCGGCGTGTATACTTGCATTCTGTTCAATTACTTGCCACACAGAACATCATCAATCAATAAATAAACTCATAAAAAGGTAGTATAATGCAGAGAATGTCCATTCAAGGTGCAAAAAAACAACGGTTCACATTTTTTTTCCTTTTGTAAAACTCAAGGTCATTCTAAACTAAATATAGATATTATACTTGACTCAACTAAATATCATATTGTACTTCAGGGCACTGCCGACTGTGTTAACATACCTGTTTGGAGGATGAAGAGAACAAGGCATTTCAGCATATTCTGCAGCATGTTTGAGATTTAGTAAAACTCTACACAGTCCTGGAGCAGAGGCGAAAGGAATTCTGACTTGATCCTGCTTGGCAACCCAAAAACTGAGCTGTGACTTCTAACAAAAGCTCTGCTTTGCATCGCTGCTCTTGTCCATGCCATAGTTCGAATGAAGGGGAACCAGAAGGGACTGGGGGCCCCAGTAAAGCAAACCTTCTTTACACCGAAAACAATCACTGTAAGCACCCCCCTCCTTCGCTTCTAATGACGTTGTAGTGGGTTCGAGGGAAGCTTGCAAACCGTGAATTCAAATCAGGGGCAGTAATTAAGGAGAATGCTCTGACTAATGTTCATAGAATCTTGCCAGATTTCCAAAGGAGAGCAAAATGATCTGCTTACACGTATAAGCACATACAGCTGTATGAGCAGTGTTGTTGCTATATTATTATATCTCTTTGCTTTGTTAGACATAAGCGGCATGTTCCTTGTCCTTCAGTACACTACTCAGCAGGACAACACACCCACCACATTTTAGCAGCAGAGTGCCCTTGGACTTGTTACAGTAAAATGTAATGCCTCCCAGCTGGATGAAACTCGTTGGACTGACTATGTGCATGAGAACATCGCAGGAAATGGCTTCATTCTTTTGAGATTTGAGAAAATACTGTAGTTACAAATACTTTGCACAGCATCTATACAATGATATACTATTCTTTTTTGATGTGATGTCTTCTTTATTAACTGGGATAATGTGATTTGGCAGGCTGTTTTAAAATCTCCCTAGCACAGCCAAGTTGCTATGACAACATGCTCTATACAAACAGTTTTTGGCAGGAACAATTTCAAACAGAGGCCTTTTTTTTTTGTTTAAGTGACCAGTGGGACATAAATGGGCGACATTTGATTGAAAAAACCAAGTTACTCAGACAACCCTCATTTTAATTTTGCAGAACTCCTTGCTGTCGTGTGATATACGATACAGTCAGAGCAAAGATGAAAGAACATGAACGGACATGTCTGAGAAATGCCTGGTTTCACCTCCCTGTTCCACTACAATAAACAAGTCTGACATGATGAAGCCCAGACATATATAAATATTTATCTAAGTACTTGCATATTCGCGACCTGATTGGCCTTTTTACTTTCTCGCCATGGGCATTTTTTATTAACGCGCACGGACACACACTGGCTGAGATGGATGGACACTAATGTTATATATTTACACCAATGTATTATTGCTGACGTTCAGTAGACATAGCATGTCTTGAAGAAGTCCACTCCGTTCGTACATGCGCATATGAGTGCAGTGCTAAGATGTTGGAGGTGTTGTAGGAGGAGAGCAGCACACATTCAGTTACACGCCTGATTCCAGATCAGTAAACTTACCAAAGCCTACACTTTGAATGTTTTTTTTAAATTTTAAAGTGCCCCTATTATGCTTTTTCAGATATTTCCTTTCATGTAGTGTGTTATAGAGCTGTTTGTGAACGTAAAACGTCTGCAAAGTTTCAAAAATCAAAGCGGACAACAAACTGAGTTATCGACTCCCAAAAGAAAGGACCGATTCTGAACAGCTGAAACGAGTCGTTAGTGATTCCAGTACTAACTCTACTTCCTGTACTTCCTTTAGTAGGTTCGTAACAAACAAAATACACCTCTGGTCTTCTTCGGGTGCTCATGAACAACGACCCGCCCTCAGACACTACTGAAAGAATTAGGTTCATGGCTAGAAGACGTTGTTTTCTGCACTGCAAAAGCTAAACCACTTTGCATGGCCTTCCAAGGGATGAGGATGGAAAGCCTCAGTGGTTAGAATTCCTTTTAAGATGATACCACAGCAGTTCAACTCCAACTTTCATTTCTTTTGTCACTCCATAATTTCACTGACGACTCCTTCTCACATCTAGCTGAAGCCACCGTGGGATTTGCTAAACAATAATTCATTAAAAACAGGGCCATACCCACTGAGCTGAAATATAGATATGATAATGGGCGTTTTTGTTCCGACACGCGCTGTAAGTGGTAGACCAATTACAACGGACTGGGGCATCTGACCAATCAGAGCAGAGTAGGCTCTCTGAAAGGAGGAGTTTCGAGTGAACGGATCCTTGAGCGAGCCGTTACTGACACTGAGGGAAAAAACATGATGCTACAATGTATATTATGAGAAAATGAAAGTGTTTGTTGACCTTGGATGCATGTAAACCTACTGCATAAGAAATTTAAAATAAAATTAGGTACTTTTATATAGCATAATAGGGGCGCTTGAAGTTTCAATTCCCAGTCCTAATAATCTTTTCTCTTCCTCTCTCCTTCACCCCACACGATTTTATGGAGATACTAGAGATCCAGATCCTTTCTGCCTCTGGATGGAGCTCAAATCTTCTCCAGTTCCAGACTGCTGGGACTACGGCTGCTCCTAAGGCCATACAGACTTCTTATAAATCCATAATTAACTTTTTCACACTGTCTGTTGTTACCCAGATGAGGATGGGTTCCCTTCTGAGTCGGGTTCCTCTCAAGGTTTCCTCCTTAAAACATCTTAGGGAGTTTTTCCTTGCCACCGTCGACACTCAGTGGCTTGCTCAGTTGGGATAAATTCACACCTTTAATATCTGTATACCGTGTTGATATTTCTGTAAAGCTGCTTTCAGACAATGTCTGTTGTAAAAAGCGCTATACAAATAAAACTGAATTGAATTGAAAGAGTAGATTAGAATGGCTGAATTTACAACCTAACATGTTTGGGAGGATAACAGATTTTCTGGAGGTTGACAAATTACACCACCAGAAAAATGACCTGCTGAACATGAACACGGAACATCCCGCCAGTGCTGAAAGGATTTTGTCTCACTTCTTGTTCAGTCTTGTTACCTTCTGGATGCTTTCACTTCCGCTGCATTTTTGCAGCTTGTTTAGTAGTTTATGACATGATAAGCCATGAATAAACCAGAACCTTTGGCTGAACATCACTGCACTATACAACTTATGCCATCGTCCTAGACTTAACTTCTTAACTTGTACACTCCTTCAAGATTTCACTTCACTTCCTGATCATTTATAGCCTCTAATAACTGGCCTGTAAAAGTTGTTACAATATATTTCCATAGGTATTAAATGATTGTTGGATTTCCACTCGTCTCAGGAATCTCGGCTTTATATCTCCAGATCTCCGTCATGCTTTCTTTAGCCTATTTTACCATTCTACATTTATTTACTTTACTTCTATTTACTTTTAGTTCTGTGTTGCTATGAGCTAGAAAGTGTGGTTTTCCTCAGAGCGTTTCAGATCGATCTGGGGAGCCCAAGTGAACACACACTGACACCTGCATGCTCACATAGACATCCGGTTTATTCAATCAAAACAGAAGTATTTATACATATTGATAAGAAGCCGTGCGTGGACGGTTTCTACTGTTCCGAGTGTCAGACAGATTTAACCAAAACACACAGCACATAGTCATAATACAAAACGAGTCCTGTGTCATGTTGACATGAAAATATATAATAATATCATCAAGGATAGCAGCTGATCAACTTATTCAAAGAGGTAATTAAATGAATACGTTCATCATAGGTATTTGAGAGCAGTTCATAACATATGAGAGGGTACATAATATAAGAGAATTTCCTTTCAATGACCAATCAAATAATATATGATATCACTAATCTACTAAAATACAAACAATAAGATCAGTATGTGATAAACATTTCATAATACTTGACGCTCCGTAGAGCTGGTCAGAGGACAGAGAGGGTAGAGAGTTTCTGCTCTGAACATTGTATATACTAACCAACACTTTCTGCTTTCTTTTAATTGACGTTTGTGTCCTGTTTTGTAGGAAAATCAGATACAGGAGATGTTACTAGTGATTGCTCAGCAGGCTGTTCTCTGTCTGAGATGCAGAAGCATCGCACCGCCCTACTAGCACTCACATAAATGCTCACCCTTGTGGCATAATCAAGCAATTGCACCCTCAAAATGCTACTCAAATATATTGCAGCAATACATTCAAATTGTTCCTTCTATACAGGCCAATACACAAAACAACTTAACAAACGTGACAATACATTTGTAGGCGTCACACTTAACAACTGTGCTCCAAGACACCTGGGCAGCGGGAGCTCAGTGGTTAAGTCGTTGGACTACTAATCAGAAGGTTGTAAGTTCAAATACCTGCGCTCCCAAGCTTCCTCCAATGCTCAGTTGTATAAATGAGATTAATGTATGTTGCTCTGGACCAGTGTCTGCTGTAAATTTAAAATATGGTGAGCACATAGCATATCTGTGAGGTTCCTGGAAGAAACCAACCTAAATAATCTCATCAGCATATTTATATAAAATAATCATTAAGTTTTATACATGCGTGTCATTTGTATATAAAGGAAAGTGATGCAGTAAGAACACACAGCGTTGTTTCGTGTGATCTTGCGCACTGATCACCTCGAGGTCTATATGTGAGAAGCCATGAGAAGTGAGAAGCTGTGAACAGTTTCATGTCAGGGCCATAACCACATCCTGAACATTGTGCGGGGTTACACAAATGTAATGGTCCTTTTTGGTTCTCTATATAATAAAGGCCCAAATATTTATGTGTATATATATATATATATATATATATATATATATATATATATATATATATATATATATAATATATATATATATATATATATATATATATATATATATATATATACATACATTTTTATAAACAATGTAAGAGCTTTATATTTAGGACCAAAATAAGTACAGTAAGTTTAGTGTGTATTACAAAACAAAAACAAGTTAGATTAGATGGTATATTATATTTCAGATTTACTCACTCTCTACCCCCAGGCAGGCCTTTCATCTTATTATGCACAGATATAGTGAATAATATGTTCCAAACAGTAGAGCAGACCCAATATGAATTACAAATCTTCCATTGTGTATATACAGTATAGCTTTTTTTCCCCTGTTCCTGTCAGTGTATTATTTTTTTCCCCTGTCCCAAAGAAAACATTGATATCATTTGATTGTCTTGTCATTATTATACGTTTATAGTGCAGCTTTAAAGCTCATATCTTCTGCCATTTTATGGAATAGAGCTGTAAAAGATTGGAAATATAATCTTCTTTTATGTTATGAGAAGTAACAGTATTTGGGTTTTAAACGACATAAGGGGAAGTAAATGATAACAGAATTTTAATTTTTAGGTGAATTATCCCTTGAACTTTTTGAGCACAGACCGATCAAGGAAATACAGACTCGTATCAAAATACAATGGTTGCAGACACTTGGGGGGGGAGAATTAAAGGAATAAAGAAAAATAGTTAAAGAACTAAATGTAAAAAATAATATATTTTTATTTTAATAAATTATATTGTCCTAACCATAACTTTAAAACAGACTTGAGTCAAATCCACACGTTTTACCATGACTTCTAAGTTTACCATGTTCTAGTTGAAGTCTGAGGATGATAACTTTTCCATTTTTATGTTATATGGGTCATTTTCTTAGATAAGTGAATTTACTGAAAGGCTACAGGTAAAGCCAGTTAACCTTGTTCATTACATTCATTCACAATTCGCACACATTCATCTTCTGCCTAATATACTGAAAATAGCTCCATTAATGTTTAGTGTCTCATCACATTGACAATAACACACTACGTTACATCGTTTGCATCCCTGGATATTACTGTCGGCCATTTAACGTTTCTTTTATTCTAATATTTTGAGATGCTGGGTTTTTGATTTCCATGAGCTACAGTGGCAAGACAAAGTGTGTGAACCTTTTGGAATTTCATGGTTATCTGCATAAATTTGTCATAAAATGTGATCTGATCTTCATCTAAGTCAGGTATATTGACAAATATAATTTGTCTAAAATAATAACACAAAAAAATTCTGATCTTTCATGTCTTTATTGAGAACAACCAAAAAAACCTCATAGTGCTTGTGGAAAAAGTATGTGAACCCTTGAGTTAATGACCTCAAAAAAGCTTTTCTTTGCACACCTGGAGTCTGGATAAGAAAATGAGTTTGGAGGTGTGGACTACAGCGACTTTGACTGATAAAAACCCCTCAAACTTTTGGAGTTTGCTCTGCACAAGAAACAGACGCTTATGTGAGCCATGTCTCGCCAAAAAGAGCTTTCAGAGGATCTACGATCAAGAATAGTTGATTTACATAAAGCTGGTGAAGGCCCGAATTTAGTCTATTAATCAAAGACAATTAAAAATTTTACATAGAAGCAAATACGCACCCAGTTAAACCCAGTTGGAGATTAAAAAAAAGACACCAGCCATGGGTGAGAAGAAGCAAGGGTCCAGACTTTATTTCCACCAACCGAGATCCACACCAATGAGAACTCTCAGAAGTGATCTCTCCCCTGGAGCTTAAGCCCCAGTACATATACAGAGTTTACATAGTAATTAACCAATCAATTTTTAGAAAGACTATGATATCAATACCAATAGGATAAACAGGGCTCATCTAAATTTACAATTAGGTAAATAAAGTTTGACAAACATTTCCAAATAGATAAAAGAAAGTCTGAGAAACATTTCCAATTAGGTAAAGAATAGTCAGAGAAACATTTCCCATGATGATTAAAAACCCTCTCAAACAGTTACAATGATGTTAAAAAAAAAAAAAAACCTCATCAAGATTACCAAGAGGTTAAAAAAAACATCTCAGAAATTTCCCATTAGGTTTCAAAAGTTGAGATAGACAAAGCATTTCAGAGCGATGACCTTGATCTCACTGCGCAGGCGCCATGTAATTCAACCATTCTTATAAGTGGCTCCTCACGGACGGTTCTCTCGGACGGTTCTCTCCCAAAAATTCAAGGCCCCTGTCTACACTACGCCTGACCCTTCCTCGCGAGACAAGAATCCCCACCATCAGAACTATGAGTAAGTTTCTTTTACATCTTTCTGTATTTCTGGATTATAATTTACTTTCATATCTGCTCTATATTTCATATTTCTATTTTATATTTGCTTATGCTGCTTGCAAGTGGTTTACTGTATTCCCTACTTCATAATATCATTATATCATCCTTCTAATATCTTAATACTCCTTTCTATTATTCTTATAAAGTTATAATGTTATGTGTGTGCGTTGGGGCCTTTTAAGTGTGTGTGTGTGTGTGTGTGTGTGTGAGAGAGGGAGAGACAGAGAGAGTGTGTGTGCTACGCCTGACCTTGAATGTGCAGGAGTGTGTGTGTTATCTATGTGTGTGTGTGTTTCATTAAATCTCTTATATTTCTCTGTGACTAATAAATCCTAGTGTGTTGATCCCAAAATGCGAATCCTGTTCATCAATATATATATCCTAATGCCGCTTCTGTGTGTCTAGGTGCCCGCCATTTTTCCCTATTTCCTCTATGTGAGGGGGTGGACCCGGAAGAACACTCTCCACCAGATCGCGCATCTCACTGCTGATTTTCAATAAAATTACATATTATTCCTACTAGGTCCCCTCGTCTTTATTTTATGTATTTTTTTTAACCACAACACTGGCAAGGGTCACAAAGTGATTTCAAAGACTTTAGAACTTCACCAGTCTACAGTTAGGCAAACATTCTACACATGGAGACACTTTGGGACTGTTGTTACTCTACCAAGAATTGGACGTCCAGTCAAAATGACACCAAGAGCACAACGAAGACTCATCAATGAGGTAAAGAAACAACCCTGAATCACAGCCAAAGATTTGAAGGTATCATTGGAACTGTCTAACATCTCTGTTCATGAGTCTACAATACGCAAAACATTGAACACGCAGGGTATCTACGGCAGGACACCACAAAGGAAGCCCCTGCTTACTATCACTTATTCTGCTTATGCTAATAAGCAACGCAAGAATAAGAAAAAAGAGTTATCTGATAATATTCAGGCCATTGACGACCAATATTTTCTCAACCCGACCCCTGAGCTGCATAAACAAAGACTTAATTTGCAGGCGAAGTTTGCTTTGTTATCGACAGTTGAGGCAGAGAGGCTGTTATTACATACGCGTGGCAATTATTATGAATATGGGGATAAGGTCAGTCAGTCGTTGGCTCACCAACTGCGTAGCCGAGCAGCTTCACGCTCTTTTCTTCAGATTATGCAGTCCAGTGGTGTATTAACCTCGGATCCTGCAGAAATTAATTCGACTTTTAAAAGTTTTTACTCCTCCTTATACACAGCTGGCGTTCCTGACAATTCAGGTAACATGGATAATTTTTTTTTTTTAATATTGATTTTCCCAGAGTTGACCCTCTATTGGCATCTGAACTTGACAGTCCCATCACCTTAGATGAGATCGTTCGCTCAATCAATTCATTACAATCCAGGAAATCACCTGGCCCGGACGGGTTTCCTTCCGAATTTTATAAGAAATTCCATGTTGCGTTGGGCCCATTACTCCTAACTGTATTCAAGGAATCCTAAGAACTAGGGACGTTGCCACAAACACTAAGACAAGCAACTATAACTCTATTGCTCAAAGATAGGAAGGACCCAACATTGTGTAATTCGTACAGACCTATTAGCCTCCTCAATGTTGATGTCAATGTTGATGTGTTCCCATTCTGCATTAATGGCGGCGAATTTTACACCCTTAATCTCATACATGAAGTCAGCCCTTCAAAGATGAGCAGCTCTAAATTCCTCTACCTCTTTCAGTCCATCCCTTTGTTTTTACCCAAATCTTTCTTTAAGAATATAGACCAATTAATCTCCTCTTTCATATGGGCAGGAAAAACTCCCAGGGTTTCCAAATTTTCACTTCAGCGGAGTCGACTGAGTGGTGGCCTATCATTGCCCAATTTCATGTATTATTATTGGGCGGCTAATTTTCAGAAACTGGTGCTGTGGGTGCAATTCAATTAAATTAAATTTTATTTGTATAGTGCTTTTTTACAATAGACATTGTCTCAAAGCAGCTTTACAGAAAAGGAAACATGGTATACAGGGCGCCCTCTCTTCCATGGTGCCACTTAGAAGCACAGTCTTGCATTTCAACCTCACTCCCTGCTCTGGTGTTCTCCTCCCTTCCCATAGCCCTTTCACATAACACAGATAATCCAGTAGTTTGTACCTCTCTAAAGATTTTCTATCAGTTTCGTCGTCATTTTAAATCTATCTCGGCCTCAACCATGGCACCAATATGTAATAACCATCTCTTTCCCCCCTCCTTTACAGATTCCACA